GTGTGTGTGTGTGTGTGTGTGTGTGTGTGTGTGTGTGTGTGTGTGTAAGATCCTGAACAGAAGGAATGGACATTTAGAGAAGAGCCTTTGTGTGTGTGTGGGTCTGTCTGTCTCTCACCTTCTTCTTGAGGTCGACAAGTACCAAGTGGTTGTCTGTGCCCCCAGAGACCAGGTCATAACCCCGTGCGATTAGAGCCTGTTACAGACCCAACCAGAACGCCAATGTGTGAGATAATAGTCTGCTTGCGTGATCCTCCCCGAGGGAGACCAGACTAGTTCTCGGCAAAATGAGCATCGTGTGTGTGCCACGGAGATTCACACATAACTTGCAATCATGGAAAACTTGTCAGGAGAATTCAAAAGTCGATTACAGATTTTAAATTCAGCAATAATTTACAAGTCACGAATAAGCAGTTTTTCATTTTCAATATAATTTGGGCTGGGTTAAACCTTAAAACAAAAACAAAAAAAAAAGGGTTGACATCAGGGGGGGGGGGGGGGGGGGGGCGGCGGGTCTCTGTGATTTCTCTGAGTTCTTCTTTTCCCTTGTGAAGCGGACCTTCGGCACAAACCCTTAACTTGTTTAAGTCAAGTCTCTAGAGAATTGAATTCTACATGACGCTTTCTTCCGCCGAAGCATCCCTCAGCGGGTAAGCTCACAACCCTTCCATTTATATGAAGTTATTAAACCCATCTGATAATGATATCACCACCTCATCCCTGCAAAAGGTCACATGGATATGTAAGAGCGGAATGGATTTAAAAGCTCACCTGCTGAGTGATACTTTGTCAGGATGGGTTGGAGATATATTTTACTCTGTTGCCGGGTAGAGGAGGTAGGCGGCTGATGGGTCTGTGCTGCCTGTCCTTTTAGTGTTTTAGATGTCAAAGTCGATGTTTGCATACGGTGTGTGCAAGGAGGCGATCTTGTTGAGCTTCCACCTATGCTGTGGAATCGGCGTGCAGTGTTGTGAACTGCAATTTTTCACTGAGGCTAGAGAAGTAAAAAAAAAAAAGGACGCCCACTGCGCAAGAAGAATCCATGCAGTGTAGGACGACAGTCGAGAGTCAGATTTCCCATTTTTCTTAGGGACCCAAAAAAAAGAAAAGAAAAAAAAGAAAAAAAAAAACCATAAAGGAGGGACCAGTCAGAACGAGGCCACATTCCCAACACAGGCAAAGCTGGGTAACGGCGGAACCCATATCCAGGGACCAAAAAAAAAAAAAAAAAAAAAAAAA